GTAAAAGAAAATAAAAATTAATTTTTCGTGTATTTTTTTAAATTAACAACAAGCAACAAAGGGTCCTAATATCTTAAATTGAAGAATGAATAAAGCTAACATTGTAGTATTAATTTAAAACTAGTCTATTCAACAAACATTATCATGTTTTTGCTAATTTCCAAAACTGCGTCAAAGGCTATTCGGTTGATTTCTTATAACGACATAAATCTATCTTTGTAATGTTTTAATTTTAAGGTTATCTTACGGTTATAGGCGCGGTAAGGGGACTTTATCTGAATATGTTCGATAGAAATTTAAAAAACAAAGGTCTAAACTGTAATTTCGTTGAATCCATTCAAGAAACTCTTCTATATGTGAACTGTGCAAAATTTCACCTCATAATTGAACACAAAGCGTGTAACGTAGGAAGTTGATCTTATATTCAAGTCGTAGGAGGTATATAGGTTACGATTGTTACAGTTTATTCAAGAGCTCGGCAACTCGAGCGCTCAAACATTGGATCAAGTGAGTAATTTTTGATGAATTTTGTGAACAGTAGCTCCGAACTACAAGTGTAATAAATGAATAAACCATTGAATTATTTTACCTAACATACTATTGTAAAATAACTTTAGATTACTTTATCAGCCATTTTAGAAATAAAAGTAAAGAACCTTGCAGTTATCGGCTCCATTTAATGTAAAGTCGAGGACATTAATTTCCTACCCTTTTTGATGAAACATTTGTTTCAATAAGATCGAAAGAACAGATGTTCAACCGTAACTCTTATGTTGACAGTCTCCAATTTGACGGTTTGCTAATTGGGAAGTGAATTTAATTCTTTGACTAAATGTATCAATATTAATACTCAGATAAAGCTTTTAATGCTAATGAATGCATAGTAATTATATAGCAAGAATTTGCAGAATACGGCTCATAACTCATCAATTCTAAAAGCGCTTATTACAGGGATTAATAGCCATTACGTTTCAAATTATAAATCTGCTTTAGTTTTTAATCCCCGATGGTTTATTAATTTAAAAGTAAAATTAGAAAAATTATTTTATTTGTATCAAATGTGTTAGGTTAGTAAATTATTTTGTAAGTAATTTACGCTTTTCTTAGGCATGACGTAGAAATTTTAAAAGATAATATAAATTTTAACAGGTTAAATGGAGACACTTTCAAGACTGTGATAGTGAAGCTAAAACGAATTTAAGTTTTAATAGCTCCACTGTTCGTAGTGCCTGACGAAATTGAGTTATTTATTATATTTAGATGATTGAATTTCAAGAGATACGACAGTAGCTAGACGTTAAGAAACTCTAGTAATATTTATGTAGCTTTAATACGATAGACTAAAAGCAATAATCTTACAATGGGAAACTTTAGATGGATTGATGGATGTATGGATGTTTGTTAAATGGTATCTCCAGAACGGCTACATGAATCTCGCTTTAATTGGGCACATATGTAGAGCATAGCCTAGTGCAGTCTTTCCCAAAGTGGGCGATAACGCCCCCTTGTGCATGCTGCAGGTCTCAAGTTGCGGGTTATAGTAAAAGTTTCGTTTAGAATTCTCCATTAATATACATATATAGGTCACAATAATTAATTAATTTTATTTGAAGTTATATTGGTTTTAAACATGTGAAAACATGGGGGCGCTAAAAAAAATATTTATTCTCTAAATGTGCAGTAGACAAAATAAGTTTGGGAACCACTGACCTAGAGGAACACATTACTAGGCATGTAACACCGTGAAGGCAAATTTTTCAAATTTTTTTAACGTAATTCACATTTGTAAATTGACAGATCAATGTTGGCCTGAATTGAAAATAAATCAAGCCACCAAAATTCGTAATCATATATTTCATTTCAAATCTATTTGGAAACTGTGTATAAATTATTCAAGTATATTAGGTAAATATTTAGTTTATGTTAATTTATTTCACATGTAAAGGCAACAGTCTACAGTGCAGCAAACAACGAGCTAATTAGAAAAGTTGCATAGCGAAGCAACCCTGCGGTATACAATAACCACTTAATTTATTTCACCTTTGCCTTAAGCCACTATTGCATTATCTTACCTTGTATGAATTTAAATTGAAAAACTTAAATAAAATAATGCAGTTATTAATCTACCCCTTCTAGTTAGATGGGGTTAGAAATGTAATTAATATTTTGCTTTATGCTATAGCTAGGGTATTCCCTCTTAGTATGTAGATATGTTAGATTTACTGTCATACTTAGTATATATGTGTGATTTGTTGGTTATATAGACCTAATGTCATCATCATCAGCTCACTATATGGCCCAGAACCAACTATATGTCAAGGGTGACTTAAGCCATAGTCAACCACGCTGGCCCAGTGCGGGTTGACTTCACACATAACTTTGAATTTCTTCCCAGATATGTGCAGTTTGCATCACGATATTGTCCTTCACCGTAAGAATATTGGATAAATATACATTTGTGAATCTCAAATCAAAAAACACATTGTTACATGGCGAGATTCGAACTTAGGAGCTGCAAGATTACTAGTCAAGTGTATTAACCCCAAAGCCACCGACGCTCCACCCACCCACGTTTGTAATATGTGCAAAATAGCATACCAACAGAGAATAGTATAGTTGTGTAATATTGGGGAAATACTCCGTTTAATCCTCGACCACAAAGTACAAAGCGTGTTTGTAAACAAGCTTATTGCTTTCAAAGTGAAATTGATGCGACTGTAAACAATGGACGTAATACACGCGACAAACGACTCGTTACCGATCCAATATTAAACTTAATTAATTTGTCATCAGCTCATCAGTAATAAGAAAATAATATTTTTAATCTGTCATCAATTATATTAAACACTAGCTGTCGTCCGAGACTCCATCCGCAAAGAATTTAAAAAGAAACATACTGAAATAAAAAACATTCTTAAACAAAATGCACTAAAAAGTAACAAAATAATGTCATGAACAAACACTGGAGAAAGTAATTAGTTTCTTTTCTTTCTTGAAATATGTGTATACTTTACAATTATTGTTATTTCGTAGTCGGTGTCCGCCTGATGTCTTAGACCTATTTTCGTCTAAGATAGACCTAGACCGAAACCGACTCCTCCTTCTTTTTGAAGTCGACTAAAAATAACCTATGTCTTCTTCCAGACTACGCATTACATCTATGCTAAAATTTCAATGAGATCCGTTGAGCCGTTTAGGAGATACTTCTAACAAACATCCATTCATCCATCCACCCATCCATCTAAACATTCGCATTTATGATATTCGTAAGATTACTTAATTTACTCTTAACTGAAGATATCTATAATACAACATGGATATTGAATAGAGAGGTTAGTGTGAACTATTAAGCTGCTACAGCAAACTTTCTTAATTAACTCTGTTGTCTGCGTGAAGGTAATACAGAGGGCTTGTTATTGTTACTGAAGGCAATTTTTGCACGTCTTTATTAACGAATGATTATTGTCTGTGTTTGCGAAATAAAGCGTTTAAACGTTACTCATATATCTAATTGTTGTAAATGATAAAGTCGTTTGTGTTTTAAACGTAATGGAATAAAACTGTATTTTATAATTGAAAAGATGGAATTACTATTACAGTACAAAGTTGGGCATAAACATAGCCATATGTAACACTTTTGTATAAATCTTTTATACAATGCTATAAAAAACGACTTAAAATATACCTATAGGATAATTAAATAACCATTTCATAGCGCGAGTCAGTCAAAGTGATTGATGTTTTCACAACTTGCTACAAAAGCACGAAATGTGTTTGAAAAAGTAATTACTAAAATTTTCATACAAGTAGCAATGGTTTGGGCGTAGGCAGTTTAATTAGTTTTGACGGCACACGAAGGTAATTAAAGGAGATTTTACCTACAGCTATAAAAGGTAATGAGAATAAATTTCTTATTGCAAAAATTGTAAATTAATCATAAATAACTCGAATTGAAATAAGTCGACATGATGTTGAATGCGTCGAATATCACTCTAAATATTGAAGCATTTACGTTTTAACGGACAGAAATCCATACGAATGTAGACGAATGGATGTGGGGACTACATGTAAATCGAAATAAATTTATGCACGAGTTACATGATTCAATGGACTAGTATTTACTCTTGCTTTATTAGTCCATTGGTATTTTATAAAAGAAGTAATTTATTTGCTGGCAATAGATAAAAAAATCAGAAACAAATGCAAAAACTCCTAAAGATTACTGATATTAAAGTTTCAGTTTTGACTCCTAATTACTTAATTGCTATTTCATTTTCTAATCTAAATTGTCTTATGAAGTTTTGAACCGCACTAAACAGAGAATAAACGCCATCACTAACAAATTCAATTTCTTACTTAATAGCTTTTAACATTTACTACAAATATAAGTTTTTACATAAGGGAATAATTTAATAGCGACGCAGAAAGTTGCAATAAAGTTTTAGCCTAAAGCTATGACAAGCTACTCCCATTTTTAATTTAGCCATGCTCACAATATTGTTCATTTGAACACGCTGGCTGAAGCTTCAATGTTCGAGCGGGCTCTTTGTATCGGGCGCATCTATTCATTGGATTCTCGAATCAGCAGTTGACTGCGCCGCACAATATCGGCCGGCCCTTGTAAGTTGCAAGCTACAAGCTGACGACAAATTCGTACGATTTAAGTTATCAATAGGAACGCCAATTTCAGCTAAAAGCTTTTGGTACTGCACTTTTATAAATTGACTGTTACGTTCAGCTGATATTTCTCATACCAATATACCAGCAATAGTACTCAAAACTTCGTATAAATTATGATATAGGTCAGTACAAAAGCGTCCGTAACATTATTCCGTTTTTTTGTCTTAGGCGATGCAACATACCATTTCACATTTTTTTGAAATTCTTTATCCACCAAGTATCAAAGTAGTATTTTTCACCTTTAAAATTTGACCTGACCGCTGTCCTTAAATCATGTTACATTTTTATTTTAATCTTAGCTGGCTAGTGAATTTAAAAACATTGATGTAATAACGTCAGACTGACATTTTGACCGATTATACATTTCATTTCAATATTTCTCAATTCTAAATTTTTGTAGCATATAACATGTATTTGATTTCAAACCCGTTAAAATATACAAAATGTCTTAAACCGACACCACAGAGGCTTGTGGACTTTAAAGGAAACGATGAATATGATTGCTACTCGGAAAATTACATCAAATGTTTTTGGGACCTATGCGATTACCACAAAAGCGTAGAAAGTTTCGTTACAAAGCCAAAAGAACAAGGTAAATTCGACAATTATTGTCCTCTTTAAGAACTTTTAGGGAACTGTAAAATAAACTACATAATAAGTAATTTTTATACCTTTACAGTAATCATACAACAACCAAGACGACAAAATAAAATATAATCATACTAAAGCTAGCTTTTGCAAAGTAAAAAGTACACTGGACTTGGAAAATAAAAAAATAATCAATAAATATCATTTAATAAATTCTACATCATGTAAACTTTTTTGATTTCTATATAATACTTGTCGTACATTCATATTTATTCTGGATTCTTTTACATACTTTCCAAACAAATTCCATCCATTTTTATCAATGTTATTATTCATATCACAGATTAATTGTTGCTTATCTGTGATATATTTGAAGGTTATGGTTTTATCATCTATTAATGAATTTTCTAGATTGTTCCATGGTTCCGATGCTGTTGCCACAATTTTTGGTACAGCATGGTATGAGAGGCGTGCTTCTTTTGACATTATAGCAATATCACCACTCTCAAGTAGTATTGCAGATGGTGTTACACTTTTCTCTCTGCCACCAATCAAAAATATTGCAGATTGTCCAAAACTGAAAATTTATAAAAAAAAGTATTTTAACGCTGGCAACATTTTGTATCACTACTATTAAGAGTGTTTTTATCACTACTGCAATCAATTTGAATTATCAGTTAGTTAACTTTACTTGTACTGTATTTATCTGAGAAAACATAAATTATCCATCCAACAAAAGTCTGGCTTATGATACATATGGTCTCTATATATGTATTTAAAGAAAGTAAGTAAAATATAATGTTTGTTTTACTGTAGCTCAGAAATGGCAACCCAATGGTACAATTCATACAATAACATGCATAACACCTCTTACCTAAATGAGAACAATGGAGCTTCTAAGTTGATCTCAGAATGATCTGTATGGGCCGAGAGAGTGGAACTCAAATGGTAATAGTTGACAATCGCAGCCTCTGCTTTGAAATCTTCATATCCCAGATATTGGGCTATACAATCACAAAGTTCCCCCAAGTCTTCTGGAAATACTGATTTGTTATCCTCACTGTATATCTGTAATAATAATACAAATTATGTTTAGTTTTTAAAATGTAAATTAATGGGTTAGGTTAGATTAAATAATAGTTACAAAATATAAAAATAGTGACTGCAGGACAGGTAAATATTTGATTTAGTCTTTTTGTACCTAAAACTAAAGAATTATTCTATTGTCTTAGGAAACTCTAGAATAAAAAAAAATCACATAAATTAGTAAAAATTGAAAAAAGACAATAACATGGTGGAAATTCAACTAAAGGGTCTGTTTCATAAACTATCCTAATTAGTTTAAATCACTATCTGTTTTAATCCTTAACATTTATAATTCAACAATTTAATATTAACTTTGTACTTTAGTGTCCCAGTTGTGATGATAACCGAGTGTTGTCCAACGCATCTTTTTTAGCAACTTTAAATCACATTCTCCTTTCCTGTAACATTCTTTCCACCAATCATTTAAAATTATTTCTATGTCTATATTAGTTTTATTTGGTTTTCTAGAATATTGCTCTAAACATTTTCTTATCCAATAACGCTGTCCCAAACTTGTAAATGGGTTCTTAATAAGCATTAATCCAGGATGATGTACAAATTTATAAGTTTTCCACTCATTTGCTGGTTTTAAACCCATGAACTCAATTCTAGCATCATCTATAGTATATTGTGGGTTAAACAAATAAACCTGAAATTAAATAAATTTTTATTAGAATGTGGAATTTTATCTACAAAATATATACTTATTAAATATGGTAAACATAAGGATTTTTTATGTAAGTTCTCATAAAAACATAACCTACCTTTTCAGTAAATTTATCTTTTTCAAATGATATTACATTCTCAAACGATGGCTTGTTATTATTACATTTATAGTATTTAAAAATATGCATAAAATTATTATCATTAACTTGATCAATTGTACGTTTCATGATCACTAGTTGAATATTTATATGAACGAATTTTTTAATACGAATCAAACTTATACATGTTCAAAATTATCTCCTATCATTAATCAAATTCAACTAATGCGATAAAATAAACCAGGACAGTGCAGTACTTAAGAACTTAACAATAGAATTATAACATAATATTTTGCAAAAATGCGTTTTGTTGTCATTTTTTTGAAAGACGTATAGACGCACACGAAATGTCAATATATTACTCGATGTCGTCATCATAATGATGCGCTATGCAATTTCGAGACGTTTTAGATCAGCTGTGAACCGGATTAAAATTTCAGTTTCACTAATCTCTCACTTATAGAGTTAGGCTATTTCTTGGAAATTACAGATTTTGTTTAATTCCAGCAACCGTCAGTACCGATTGCAACTTAAAATCTGTTTTTAGACTATACCACTATAATCTTTGTACTTGAACATAAATTGTCATCCATTTGTCAATGTCATTTCGTTTAAGAAGTAAGAATTAAAAAATAAACTTAAATGCGAAAAACAATTTTGTGATATAATATTTTAAGCGATTATGATAAATATTTAAGTGACTAATAAATAAAAAAGACAAAATGAGCTCTACGGCAATGCAAACAACCGAGATAATAAAGGTAAGTTCAAACAAAACTTCTATAAACTAACAATAACCATACAAAAATATTAATTGTTGTTACTATTTTAGCCGGCTCGTTAAATTTTAGTTAATTATTTTCAGGATAACGGAGAAATTGATGGTAAATCAAAATTAAGAAAATGGTTAAACATGAACTTTAGAATTGAGATGACTGATGGGAGGGTGCTAATAGGTGTATTTCTCTGTACCGACAGAGATGCTAACGTCATTTTAGGTAATTTTCCAAAGAATTATTATAACAAGAGTATACAACGTATAAAGAAGTTTTTTTTCATTCAATATTAAAAAAATATAAAACACTTGCCTATAAGAAGAACCCCTCATGTAATTTTACTATATCCTAAAAAATCATATAATTATTTTCCTGTAACAAGAAGAGAGTTCATTACATCAATAGTGATGTTATATATTATATGTAATTGTTTTAGGAGCATGTTCTGAATATCTGAAGAGTAACGATGGTGAAACTGAAGAACCAAGAGTTTTGGGTCTCGTCATGGTGCCAGGGCGTCACATTGTATCAATAAAAATTGATGAAACTATGGATACTTCTCTACAAAAATTTTATTATGAAGAATAACACTATTAAGTCTCATTAGATTTATTTTAAAATGTATTTAGTATGGTAAGTAATAAAAAACAATTTTTATTCATATGATTTCTTATTAACCTTCCTTTAAACTTTGAATTAGATGTTTTATTAATTCAACTTCTTGATAAATGTTTTTAGAATCATTTGCAAAGGGATTATAGTCTTCTGAATTTACAATATTTCCATGCGACAAAATATCTATCAGTCCTTGACATATTGAATCTATACCAGTTGTGGGGTCAATTAAAACAGAGCTTAAGAAATTGAAATTCAAAATATTCCTTAAACAAACATATGGATGTAAGACTTGTGCGGTATTTTTTATGTTTTTATAATAATGTATACTTAAATTTCTTACATCTTCATCCTCGTCTTGCAACAAAACAATTGCAGTCTTGATAGATATTATTTTTATTTCATCAGAATATTTGCTTAGTTTAGAAGCAATTTCATTATTAGTAATCGCTGAAATCATTCTCATATCTACATCAAAGTCCTCTGCAAAACATAACTTGTATGTAATTTTACATACAACCAATATAATATTTTCATTGTCAGTTGTTTTGGCAATAAATGGCGTCATATACCTTAATATATAAGGAATTCTTTCATTTTTTATGTATTTAACAATGTCTTCAATATTTTCTTTGATATCAATACTTGTTAAGCAAGATATTTTATACAGAATCTTCCAAATAATGCAACTATACATTCTCTTAGGAAATGATAGTAGAATATTAGCTATCTCTCTCAGTATGTCTCCATCAATATTTGAATCTAGTCTTGCAAATAAGATTTCACAATGTTTTTCATATTCACTGCTGTTTAAAATATTTTGTATGCCATTAGGTAATTCATTTGACGGACAATTTCTTAAATATTTGCTAATTTGTGTATTCATCCATTGATAATGTCCAGGTTCATTTTTGCCTGTTTGTAGTAAAATCTTCTCTAAATCAGACACTTTATAATCCCTATTGATAACATGTTCCATTAATTCTTTGCACAAATAAGAATGCCGTTTACAATGTACAATTTCATTGAATTTATCTTTCAATAATTCAAGTTGGTTCAGATATTTTGTATCTTTGTAATAATTATTACAAATTACCAATAATAAAAGGCAACCGTGAAGGAAATTTTCACTTGGTTCATCTATTTTGATAAGTAATTCATAAATATCATTAAATGAATATATATTGAATATAGATTTTGCTGTCAATCGTCTTATAGCAAATATCGGACTTCCCAATAGTAGACTTAAATTTTTCAACAGTTCCTCAGTCTCCATTTGAGATTCCAAATCATATGTGAAGTTATATCTCTTTGCGATATTACCTAGAATATTTAGTATAGGTAATAAATTGGAATGTGACTGTAATATATCTTTGGTATTGTTTAATTTTAACTGTTCCAATATAAACAACCATAAGTTAGGGAAATGTGTCCGAAATTCATCACATGCAACGGTGGCAGTCACCTCATCTTCGGAACCAGATGGTTTCTTTTGGCCAATTAGTTTAGGTATTAAACCACCATATAATTGAAGTGCGGCATTTCTGAAAACATTAAAATCTAATTAATATTATAAATATATCTTATTAATAATATAAATGCAAATGTTTACATATGTGGATGGATGTTTGTCTGAATCTATCTCCGGAACGGCTGAACCGATCTCGATGAAATTTGGCATACATATAGAACATAGTTTGGAAGAACGCATAGGCTACTTATTATGTTTTTTTTTATTCCGCGCGGACAGAGCCGAAGGTGACAGCTACTATGAATATAAATTATAATCAATTCTCTCATACATATAAAAAAGATATACCTTATTTGCCAATGTGGACTTGTTAGATTATTAAATGCAAGTTCAGCTAATTCAGCAGAATAATACATAACCTCTGTAATCAGACTACTATCTGTGACTATTCTTGTTAGGAGGTGTATGTACACAGCCTTCGGTAGATCTTTTTCATTGTCACAATTTGGTGAATCTTTCACATTGTCATCAAATGTTTTGCAAGTCACTAACGAAGTGTTGATAAAATAGTGGAACAATGGCTAAAAAAAATTAACAAAACTGTATTTGTAAGTTATACATCAAGATATATTTATATACAAGAACATAGGACATATACAAGAAAATATAAATTTTTGGTTATATACGAATAGAATAAGGTTCTTTCCAATTCTTGCTCTTTGTGCAAACATATAGGGAATGTTCTCGAATTTTTTAGGTTGGTATCTTACTAAAATTATAAATGCCAATGTGTAGATGGATGGATGTTTGTTAACATCTCCAGAACGGCTGCATGGATCTCTGAAATTTGGCATAGATGTAAAATATAGTCTGTAAGAACACATATACTGCTAATCTGTTTTTTTTTCAATCCCCACGGGCGATAGCTAGTTTAAATTAAAAAAAAGTAATCCAAACCTTATTTTTCCGCATGTCATTACTGACAATTCTATGTACCATAATTGATAAACCTGCACCTCTTCTTGTAACAGATGCCATGCTGTTGGCTTCCAAAATCAATTCCTCGAGTTTTTGTTTTAATAATAATAGGGGTAGATTTGAAAGGCTATTCTCAGATGTCAAAGATGTTAAACAGTGTATACTTTCACCTGCAATAAAATAAAGTACGGGTTTTATTTTAAATTCTTATCAACACTTTTTGTACAAAAAATAATGGCATGGAACATATTGATAATAACGCACCTAAAGCAACTCCCGCTGCTTCTATAGCCCCTTTGTGACGAGATGTCTCCAGAACTTTTGTAATTACGGATAAAGATTTTTCACATACATCTAGTTGTGTATCAGAATTACAATATTTAATAATAAGTGCTGCCAATTCACAGGATGCCTAAAAAATATTAATTAATATTAATATAAAAAAAATGAAAATTGTGTACAATATTAAAAATAATATAAAATACCTTCACATTTAACCACAAACAATTTAAGACGATTTGTTCTAATCCTGTAATTTTAGTATCGTCTGCATCATTACTTGAATAACCCGAATTTTTAATAATTTCTCGAACCATATCATTCATTTTAGAAAAATCGGAACTTGTTGAAACTCCTTCTTCCCAAACAAATTGATTAGATACACCTTGTAATATGTCTAACAATAAATTAATAGAATCTTCAGTAATTTTCAATTTATATGAATTTTTAATACATGCTTCGAATAAAGCACATAATATACACATATATGAATGTAACTGTTTTCCATTTTCAATTGATTCCACAATATCTCTTTTTAAATTGTATTCAGATAAAAGCTCATTATAAGAAAACATAAAAATATCTTCTACATTTTGAAACATAGCTGCATTTACAGACACTTCTTTTAAAAACACATTAGCTAACAGTCTGAATATACTCTGCGCACAGTTTATGTCATAAAAGAATTTACTTTTAATTTTAAAGAGTGCATTATCAATAATTTGATTTATTACAACTGGCTGTTTCAATTGTTTTATATAATGACTCAACATTAATTGTACAACATTTTCTCTTATATCATCTGCAGGATCATTTAGCAAACTTATCAGTTTTTTAATCACATCTTCATTATAAAGAATCCAAAATTTATTATCAGATATAAAATCTATTAATAAATAATTGATTTGCTTAAATTGATTTTGTTTTTTCTTCGGAAACTCGGTAATACAATTAAAAAGTATATTTGTTATTTTAATTGTAGTAACTTTACGTTGATAATTCCCATTTAGATTCAATGAAAAGATTATAAACTCTTGCACTTTTGCACAAAATGATAATAAATTTTCCTTGTCTTCGTCTGCTTTATGTGGGTTATTTAAATGTAATGTTTGCAGACGGCTTAAAAAGCTTCCCAAACTGTTTAGCATGCTCAATCTTAATACAGTACAATCTGAATTAACATTATCAGAAAGAAAATTTAAGATTATTTCATATTCATTTCTCCGAGGCCAAGATTTTCCATGAGACACACACACTATATCAAAAGCTGTCATTCTAATTTGAGGATTACAGTGTTCTATCCCACATAGAATATTTCTTTCAACCTCTGTTAATACTATCCAATTCTTTTCAAATAGATTAAGTTTGTTACATTGCTTTGCTACACTCAAAATACTAAACATTCTTTGTCCAGTGTCCTCATGTTTTTGTAAAGAATTTATTATCATCATACCCACAGATGGAAATTTCTTGAGTGTACTTAAACACCAGTAGTTTATGAAATGTTCCTTTGCTTTATGTAAAGTGGAACAAAGCATTTCTGTAATTTTGTCTAAAAAAACATCTGCCCATTGGTCATCGGAATACATTTTCTTCAATATAGAGTAATACATATCAGCCCCTGCCGATACTAATCCAGGTCTACATAGACTATGTAATAGACCTTCAACTAAGTTGTATCTATCTATAAATGATTTTAAATTACCCTTAAATTGGTCTATGATTTCAGAAAATGTTAAATATTTAGCTTTGTTCCAATAGAATGCATGAATTTCTTCTATAATTTCTTTTTTCATTTCGTCATCAATTACTTCAATAACATATTGTAAAATTAATTTATTTAAATTTCTAGTTCCATTAATTGAATTCTCCCAATTATGATTCACTAAGTTCAACAATCTTATTTGATTGTGTTTTGTGAACACTATACTTTGTAAATTTGTGCCCAATAATTTCTTTAGTGATATTAAAACTTTAAAAACGATTGTTCTATGATGTGAATATTCATAAGCCATGTTAATTAGCAAATTTAATATAGAATTGAGAATATCATTTAAAATAAAACCATATTCATGATCCTTTTGTGTCAGAAAATTGGACTGGAACATTCCATAAGTTATTGATAGTTTTATTCCTTTGTCTTCATTTTTTCCTTCGCTTCTATTTAATTGTTCCAAAACACTTTGTAACATTGAATCCATAAAAGCATTGTCTTTATGCAAACAAAGAATGGTATAAAAACATGTTGAACAAAGTAATTGATCGTCAAACTCATTTAGTCCATGCAGTAGATGATTCCATAGTTTTTGCAACATCTTGCTGTAGACTTCCAAGGTATCGGTACTATGATTTGATTGAGCATTTATTTTCTTTACTTTCAGTAATATTTTCTGTAATGAGAAAGTAATTCAATTTTTTAGTCACATTCATAACATTAATTTATATTTTATCATGCAATAGTGACTCCATCAGTACGGAATTAAAAAAACAACCTAATAAGTAACCTATGTGTTCTTCTAGACTATGTTCTACATCTTTGCCAAATTTCAGGGGGATCCATTCAGCATAGTTCTGGAGATATCTTCAAACAAACATCCATCCAAACATGCATTTATAATATTAGTAAGATAACATTACCTGTAGTGTCTTTGTGTTCAATTCCGAAGTAGACACTTCAAGACTTGATAGAATACTGTTTTGATCTTCCATTTTCTGTGTGAAGGAATAACCTAAAAGAGAAAGACCATACGAGGTTTCATTATAAAAATACTAAACAAATACAATAAGTAGTCTGCATTTCACTGTTGAACATTGGGCTATAAGTTGAAAATTATCTTAGGAAATCTAGTTGAAATAGTAGCAAAAGATCTGATGTTTCTAAGTGGTAATGACTTGTTTGAATGAAAACTTTAAGGGATAAAATTTTAAACATTATTTTAATTACACTGTATGCTTTGGCATTTAGTTGGTACCAATAGGCACAACAATATCCACAATTAACCTTCTTATAATTTAGCACACAAATTAACACATAGCACTTAGATTAAAATTAAGACGCTGAGCCACAAAGCTATGATCACTATTACTGATGTCATTTATGCTTAATATCTGATTGAATGTCATTTTTAAGGCAAAAAAGTTCAAACAAATATTTGCAAGAATATTTAAAAAGTAAAAATAACCTAAGAAAGCCAGCCAGCAGGAAAAATGCAATAATTGTTGCTTTAATTATATCACAGTTAAATTTTACAATTTTATAAAAGAAATACTTATATTCGCATCATTATATGCCTTTATAGTTTACTAACAAACTAGAAAATTTTATTAAAATAATCAGCATACCATAATAGACCTTATATGTTCTAATACTAATAAAGTGTTATAATACTTTGTGAGAGAAAGCAGAATGAACCAGGAATTTGAATGTGAAATGTGTGAAATAAAAGGCCATTACTTTATTAATAATTTAATAATCTACAATATCTATATATACAACAAAGGTCAATCAAAATAATTTAACTTTCTTTGATGGGTTCAAATCCCTCCTTCTGCATTTTCTCTTTAAATAAATCATAGTCCCGTTTTCTATCAAAATGTGTAACCCATTTAGGTGGACATGACTTTTCAAATATCATTCGATATTCTGTACACTCTTTTGGTATTCTAGAGCTGTCTCTGATGTTGTGACTATCTAAACACTCCCAATAACGATCTCTAGAATCCCAACACGTCTTTCTCTGAGCACGATCAGGGAATGACATTTTTCCTCCTACAAGTAGCCTATAAGGACAAAAGAAATTTTGATATTATTCAAACTAGATAATCATTACGACGCTTGAGGACGAACAAAAAAAGCTGGCACGCATTTTAACAATTTACAATTCGAAATATGTGACTTCGCGCAAATACCAAAAATAATATTTATGTCGTCGATAATCTTAAAATTAATATCTTGAATTCGTATAATTGTACGCGGCAATGAGGCAACTTTTTGACAAATATCCTTGATATAAATTAAATTAGAAATCTAAGTAATGTTTTCAATGGAGATGTTTGATCTGACGATTATCGATTATTTTTTTAGAACGGCTTATAAGGCAACTTACTTTTGTAATGACACAAAAATAGTCCTAACTAAACGGAACTGGCTTTAATATTAGTTAAGTATCAAAAATTTTAATCTATTACGGCACGGCAATAAATATCATCGGAACTTTTAACCTCTAAATCTTTATAATTCCGAAGACAAAAATGTCAATATCACTCACCTGTCAGTCAGCTCCGAAAGATAGTCGAAGTGCAGATTATAATAATATAGCACAGATACTTAATAGTACTTTTAATTTATTTCTTAACATTTTTTCTTTAGGTATCACGTAAGGAATATGCAGGTCCTATTTTAATATGGCCCTTTTTATTGTTTTCTTTACTTAAGTTGTTGAAATAGGAATTTTGCAGGATTCTTTCTTCCCCTAAACAGTTTATTGTAACTTTCGTAATTTGAAGATTAATTAATTCCTCGTTTTTGTTAATAAAATATTCATACGATACCCTTGGTCTACGATTTCTATTTATAAATAAAAAAATTGTGTAGTTTACCTGCACTTAATTAAAATTATAATCTTTCTAGATATATCTGTTACATTTGTCCTTTTTATATCTTGAATTCTTATCATTTATCATTTTTATTGATACGTTAGATCGCATAAAGTGTACATTGTGATATTAAAACAAATCCAAAAATGTCTGAATTATTAAAAATTAGCGACTTAATTAGAAACAAACGTTCCTTTACATTTTCATTTGAAGTGACCCCAGATGTCGGTGAGGCTGAACTTGATAAGATTACACTTCAGCCAGAATTCTATTCAATAACTTGGCACGCTCTGAGCCATCAGTGTAAAGATTTAAATATTGCTCCATTAAAGTTAGCAAACTTATTAAGGCGAAAACATAAACATGTTTTATTAAATTTATCGTGTAATCTTATGACCAAAGCGTATTTAAATGACTTACTACCATGGCTTCAGGAAAAGGAAATTTGCAATTTGTTTATAGTTTTAGGAGGTGTGTATTTTTTAAATTTTTCATTCAACTCAAGTTTTTTATTCCTGAAGAAATTTGTTTCATTTTTTGTTTTTAATTTACAGATTCTTTCAATGCCAATCGATCTGATTTTAAGACGTCCTCTGAAATGATATCCTATATAAGAGCGAAAACATCGGACTATTTTTGTATTGGCGTTGCCGGTTTTCCATATGACGATTGTAAAATTACAGCATTAAAAGAAAAAATTGATCTAGGAGCTGATTTTGTAATATCACAAGCATTTTTCGAATCAAATGTTTACAAGAATTATCTCGAAAAATGCAAAGACGCAAAAATAGATGTGCCCATAATACCCGGTATATTTCCTTTTCAATCGCAAAAAGAATTGGATATGTTCTTAAAGTTATGTAAGGTTAAGGTAACTGAGGAATTCAGAATGAAATTGGAAGAAAAATCGGAAAATGTGATGGATATTATAGAAAATCTAGTACTTGATTTACGTAATAATTTAAATGTAAAACATTTCCATTTTTTCACGATAAATAAACTTGGAATAACTTGCGAATTGGTTAAGAACATTCAACTGTCGTTATGAAAAAAAAATCGTTTATTTCTAAACGGTTGTTCATATTGTCCATATTATTTTTATTATACATTATTTGGTCAAGAAAAAGAATTTCCTATGTTTTAAAATATTTTAGAAATCTCTGCGTATATAATTTTTGAAGAATTTTTTTTTTTAAATAAATGATGACGATAAAATATTTTTATCCTTTTTATAGCCTCTTGTTGCAGTTATTTTAAAGGTAAAGATCACGTAACACTATTTATGTCTAGAGTTATAGTTTTTCGCTTTATTCTATAATAAAATATTTAAAGTAAAAAAAATCTAGAAAATAAGTATGATCGTTAAATGGGTAATAACATTGCTTATCTATTTATCGCGAAAGTGACGGTGTTAAATGCATTAAATTAGAACAGTATATTTTAGATAGTATTAATTTACATTTCGATAAATAATTTCGATAAAAAACAAGAAATAATAGTCATACCAACAAGCCAGAAACTAAATGCGTTATTGGCGTTTCCCTGGAGATAATTTTAAGCAAAAGTGTACTTCTCCCAGTTTAAATCTCACATAAAAAGCGGCAATTCTTTGGGGGATACCTAAACTGGATCCTAAACTGTGCTCCAAAGGCTGGTGTCACTTTTCAATAACTTTATTATGTTGTTTTATTTTAATTAATAAGTATATAAATAATAAACCAAGAGTTTCGTGATATATTTTAATAAGACAGTCCTATATACTGTATTAACAATCGGCCATGTATATAACATCACAACCAAAAAATAAATAGTACAAAAATCAAATTAAAAACTAGTTGCAATTAAGCTCGGTACAGACACAAACTTCTCCCGGGGTATATTAATCCGTTAGGAAAATATTAATACTTTAAAAATATCGGACATATTTTTACCTTAACAATTATTGGCGATGAATCAATATCATAATTAATCAAATTTGAGCTTTTTTTATCAGAACTGCCTCTAATATTTGCCATAATAACATTTTCAAAAAACCGAGTCTGCACCGATCTTGTCAGCTATTGAAAAACTTTATAATAATAAATACGTGTCGTTGCACTACATTTAATTCGTATCGAATTAATTATATAAAATTGTCTACTTATCAAATTAACTAAAATCGATTAACGTGAACCTAATAATTAAAATGACGGAATATTATACACTGGCAATATTTCTAATTGTGTAAAAGCTTCCAAACAACTAGTCTACATCGATACATTGTCTACATTAATTGTTGAATTCTACATCGAAAGTTACAATCTTACGTATATAATTTATTGTTACGATTTGATAAAGCTTCGTTCATTGTTATTAAACAATAACCAATTATTTAGCTACATACTACCGGCTTCTTATATGTATACAAATTCATATTAAAAACCTTAAGCGCCCAGTCAATATCAAATTTAATTATTCTTTGAAATAACAAATGTAATTTGATTGTTAAACGTGCGCACGAAAGCTGACGTTTAAACAATCTTAACGACAAAAAGAAATATAAACATAAGAATACATTAAAAAGGTGTAGAAGTAATTGAATATTTGCGAACACTTTAATATTACAGCTGACGATAATTTGATATCAATGTCATTTAACGAGCTATTGTAAGATCTACTTCGCTAAAAGTTATTCGAGAAGAGAAAATCTATAGACACACAAAGCTAATATGTGAACGGGATTGTTCGCAGGACTAATAAACCTTGTTTAAAGATGATGGTCGATTTTAACGGTATAAAATATACGTGTTCGGCAAGAAATACCTGAAATAATTGTTTTAATTCGGTGAATAGATCTTTGTATTAAATCTTTCGACATTCATTTTGAACTGTAATTATTTCTAAGATGTTTGTATCCCGTTTGATAATTCTAGACGAACATCTAAACTTAATAAATATTTGATATGTCTACTCAGTTATATTAAATTTATGTAAAAACAATTATCATCTACAATTCAATGAAAACAAAACTTTACCAAAATTAGAAATTAACAGAATACTTTACCGTCATACACTTATTTTGTTCACTTACCATAGACCTGAATTGACACTGAATTCAGTCTTATTTTCATACATGTCGCATCTTACGAGGTAGTTTATTTACATAAAAATTAATTACGACAAAGATAGTCACTTGGAATTGAAAACTCAAATATTTTTTTTAAATAAATACATCGAACTATAAAGTTGTTATTTTTCGGACGAATTCTTTAAATACTCGTATCAACGCTGTTAAGAGCCATTCCAAGATGTATTAACCTTATTTCAGAACCTACCTTACTACTAGTTTCACAAACATAAACAAAATATACTTCTATTAATACTGTTAGGTAATCAAAAATATAAGACATTGCAAATGGGTTCATTAACGATGGTCCCCGAATTATAGCTTAAAATAATTATTTGCTGGTTTTCATGACTGATTTCGTTATATGTAGTAAATTATTTGATTATTATTTTGTTTTATTGCTTTTATTTTTAAAATCGGCAGTGACTGTTTGCAAGCAATTTATAATTTTTATTTCGATTCCAAATGTCTATCGCTATAAACAATAGTATTAAATATAATCCCTACAATACATATTATATATTGTTAGCCAAAATTTTATTTTATTTGTAACAACTATATCTACGCTGGTATTGTCTCAGTGTTTATCATTATACGATATTTAACATATCAATAGCAACTTTAAGTTTTATCAAAATCGTGTAATTTTTTTACATTCTTTCATATCTTATTTAGTGTTACCATTTTATCGAATTCAGTGGTTGCAACATTTTTATATAGATTCCATTTGCTCTGTCAACTCCAGAATAGGACTCTCACTGAGCGGCAACATATTGCTGCTTGGCGGCAGACTGTGGCCTTGCCAAGTGGGCTGAAACAAAGTTAAATGTAATTTTATTATAAAATATTATAATACAATCGTGACCACTGTCTGTCAAAATGTGCATATTTTTTGCTATTCTTTCTAAATGACATTTGCCTAATTTTGTCTACAATCTAAAAATCAGCAATAAATAACGTGAAAACTGAATAAATATGCCTTTTTAGGGTTATGTTTTCCTCAAAATATTAATTTGCAAATGGCACCACTAAGATCGTAACACAGTCAAGTTTAACCTTGATTGGAGAAATAGTTGCACAAATGTTCTCTGAAGTTTTTTTTTATAGTTTTCTGTTTCGTTCAATATGTATATGAAATATTGAAGTTAATATTTTTTTTAACGTTCGATCGACAAGTGAGGTGATGCAAAATTTATTCCATTCTCACTTCAACCATAAGGAGATTACTTTACCCTTTTTTTTTTACAAATTGGTTAACTTTAGAGTACTGGTAAAGAGGAGTTTGTAGTTAGCTTTTTGCCTATATTATCCATTTTTCCTCATTCACAGATAACATTTTACGTTGTGACCTCTGACGGAAGTTTTCTGAGATTAACTTCTGATATCTCTGTATAAAACATATCGTCATCCCTGACATTAGATTTGACACAACAGAGATTACAATTTTATTTTATAATAATTAAGGATTTTAGGGTCAGAAACCCACGGTAATTGTGATTTAGCTTTTTTGTTGGACACGTACATATTTAAAAATTATATCTACTAATGTTTTGTACATAAAAATGAACTAGCATGCATTACGTGTCATCTACGAAAAAGCTAATTTGCAAATAAAAGGTGTGAAAATAAAACAAAGTAATATTATAAATACATTTACTTATGATTTTAAAATAAAACTTGATTCTAAGTAAAGCTATCACATCTTACAATATAATTTTATTAGCAAATTATAATAAATCCTCTATACAGACTTTAAAGAGTAGACAAAT